CACGCTTAGCCAGACACTGAACTAGAACTCACAAGACTGCTATATACTGCTGATGAGAAAAGGTATTTAGCAGTTTATATTTAATAAAATAAATGCATTTCCATGTTGTGTGTACTGTGGGAGACCAGATATAGTGAATGCAGGGTCCGGGGAGACCGGATATAGTGAATGCAGGGTCCAGGGAGACCAGATATAGTGAATGCAGGGTCCGGGGAGACCGGATATAGTGAATGCGGGGTCCGTGGAGACTGGATATAGTGAATGCAGGGTTTTGGGAGACCAGATATAGTGAATGCAGGGTCCGGGGAGACCAGATATAGTGAATGCAGGGTCCAGGGAGACCAGATATAGTGAATGCAGGGTCTGGGGAGACCAGATATAGTGAATGCAGGGTCCGGGGAGACCAGATATAGTGAATGCGGGGTCCGGGGAGACCAGATATAGTGAATGCAGGGTCTGGGGTTTAGGAACACTTTAAAGTAGAACTATAGGCAAAACTTTTTTTCCATTTTGGATAGAGCAAGGGAGGGTTATAAGTCAGATTTATTTTTCCATCTGTGTCCTTTTGTGGAAATTTCCCTTCACTTCCTGTCCCATAGCCAAACAAGAAGTGAGAGGAAATCCCTGTAAGTTAAGGGAATCCCTTGGGGACCCACTAGGTCAGCAGAACTAGTGTCCCCATTGGAATATTTCTCCTCTATTACTTTTCTGGAGAAGTTTTACCTTTTTTATACTTTAAGGAAGGTATCCTCTGGACATTCCCATTGTTCTGTAAACATTGTGCACTTGAAGGTTGAACCTGTGGTTCCTGTATTTTTGTTCTGTCTTGGAAATTTTATAGATAGGCAACTAATATCCTAAGATTGATCATTGGTTCCAAATGAATAACTACTGCAGTAAGGAACAGAGACAAAATGATACACCCAACATCTTTCCAAGTAACTGTTCTGTTGATTCTGCACATTTGAGGCTTTATTTTATATGGTTATGGAAGTAAGACACTAATACAAGGAACATAGTCAATTCGGGACTTGAGTTTATATAATAACAAAAAAAAATGTCAAGGAGTGTAAACTGCATTTATTTTTCAACATACTCCCCTGCTACATTTAAACATCCCAGTGTTTAACTAATGCCTGGAAAGCTTTGGCATAGAAAGATTTGTCAGTATGCCTGAATCCTAGGACAGCCAGCTTCACTTCGTCATCAGTGCTGAAATTTGTCTCTTGTGCAATTTCACGACAGGTTATGCTTTACACGTCGATTATCCAGATCAGGCGTTCCATGTGTTGAACGTTCACAGGAGTGACTGCTGTGGGCTGGGAACCACCACGTCCGGGATCATCACTGACGGACGTACGGCCGTCTTTGAAACGTTTACACCATTCAAATGTCTTACTGTGGCTCATCACCGTAGTTTGCTTGAAGCTTTCTATAGATATTCATGTGTTTACACAAGAAACTTCATCACCACACATTGTTCAATGTGCACACTAACACTGATGTCTGCCATCTTGATTAATGGTCTCTGGACTGGTCTGCGACATGTGCGCCACCTATCTGTAATAGGACAGACTTGCCACTTAGTACTGTGTGTAGTACCGCCAAGCTAGCATCCCTTTTTACACCTGTAAAATTAAAAGTCCCGGTTTGATTTGAATGCCCCTGATATTATAATTGTAAGCAGTACATAAACAGACTAGTTTCTTTTCAATGTTTTAGGAATGTGAGAATGTGGAGTGTTAGTATGATTCCAAGGATGTTGGCTGCAGTAGTCAAGATATACAAAATGAAGTACAGGGGTTAGCTCTTACTCAGCTGAGAACAGAGGACATGTGATTACTTATAAAACAGGGGGAAAAGGCATGAGAAAGATTCCCAAGAAAAAGGGGGAGACTACCCGATGCATTTTGATCACTCCATTATTGATCTTCTTCAGGGGTATTGAACACAGAAAGAATTTCTAATGGACATACAAAGAGTCCCCACTTGCAGAAATTGGTTTAGAGGGACCACAGGCGGTCCGGTGACACAGTGTTAAGGCCTTTTGGAGTACCTACCCTGGATGAGATTGGATGGTGCATTACTCTGACCCTGTTCTGGCAGTAGATGACCACTACCTGATGAGAGAGGATATCTTATATGCGCATTTTTGACGCACTTCTGGTGAGTGCGCATTCTTTATACCCATTATCCACTGTGTGATACACCGGATTTCCGTCTTCACGCACTTCAATTGGATTTAGTGTTCCCCATGTGGGCGTTTGAATCATTTTGGGACATTCACTCATTTTAAATTCACCCAGTGTAATTCACTATTTTGCACTTGATTTTATTGCTATTTTATGTCCATTCAGCATGTTGTTTTAATATGTTTAGTTATATTTACATCAGGGCTGAAAGTGATGACATGTTTTGTGTTGAAAGTAGAAGTGATGTGGGAAGCCTCACTTTCATCATTCACTGCGTGCATTGCTAGCAATACGGAGTCATGTCAGAGCTTACTGAGCTTCAAAGAGGGCAAATTGTTGGTGCCGCTTAGCTGGTGCCTCTGTGACTGAAGTTGCCAATTTATTTGCTGTGCCAGGAAATCGTTGTTTCTACGCGAAACATGTCATCCCTTTCAGCCCTGAAAAAAAACAAACAACTGTGTGCTTCTAATAACCACATACAACCCGGCACTAGAAGGAATAAGAAAAATAATCAAAGATTTACAACCCATCATGACAACAGATGAAACTCTGAAAGAAATATTCCAGCAACCCCCAATACTGGCTTTCAGACAACCCCCCAACCTCAGAAATAAACTAGACAGTAGGAAATTTCCTTCTGATTATGAGGTCACAAATAAGGGAAGCAAACCCTGCAATAAGAAACGCTGCAAACTGTGCAACCAAATCAATCCATCAAAAAGTGTCACACACTCAAAAGGGATCTTCAATATCTCCGGATCATACAGCTGCACCTCCCGTAATGTTGTGTACCTTATCCAGTGCAGAAAGTGTAGCAAAGGATCTTATGTTGGAGAAACAGGACAGAAGTTGCAAACAAGGATGAATTTGCACAGACATACCATCAAGGAACATAAAGAAGAGGACTTTTGCACACCTGTGGGACACCATTTCGCACAACCAGACCACATTATGGGAGACCTCAATGTTTTAGTTCTTAAAGGAAATTTCAAATCCATTCAGGAAAGAAAAACTTTTGAACTAAGAATGATAATTCTATTTGACACAAGAGATAACGGTCTGAATTTGAACATGGGATTCCTCAATCATTATCTGACATTTTTATGACTCTCTCTGTGAGTGTTGTTCTCCCTCCCTCCCCTCCCCTCCCCAGTCTTTGCTTTTGCTTTGCTGTGTCTTATCTCTAGGCTAACCCTAGGCTTGTGTTTCTTTTTTTTTTTCTCATCCCCCACATCTCTAACATTCTGCTAAAACTTTGTAATAATAGTACTGCTTGGACCTTGAAGAAGGGGACATACCCCGAAAGCTTGTCCTCAAAATTGTATGTTAGTGCAAATAAAAAATATCACGTCAGTACTCAACTGTTTCTTTCAGACCTGCAAATCATGCAGTGTTTCCGTTTTTTTTTGTCTAACCCCTATATATACAAAGTTTAAAATGGAAGGCTGAACTGGAAAGTTTCTAGACTTGAAGTTTATATACTCCAGTTTTCTGGATGAAAAGCAGAACTATCACTGTGTTCTTTTTTTGCTTCCCCATGTGAAATTACTATGCCTGTTACCCACACTATCCAATATTAAAAAAACATTTTGGTTGAACCATACTGTATACTTTAAGGTGAACCACATCTACAGCCTAAGGATGTAAACATAGTGGAGTCATCATAACCCGCACCATTAGCTGTTTCAAATGAACTATTCCGTTCTCCAAGATACTGTGTGTAGCACTACCCCTTAAGATTTGCTGAGTTTTTGGGCCCCCCTAAAGCTCTGCACAACCAGGCAACACACATCTTCTTCCACACTTTGCACCCAGAGTCAGTAAACAGTCCTTGAGCTTGGTTTTGTGATTTTATTAAGGGTTTAGAACTTTGATGGGGTTGAGGGGTGTATGGGATGCCCAAGGAAACTGAAACCTTGAGGACAAACTCCTTAGCAACAATGTACAAAAATGTGGACAAAAAAGTAGTCTCTTCTTTAAGACCTTTCCTGCTCTCTGGTGTACCTCCTCAGAACCCAGATGAATCCCCCTCTTCACCGGCTGCACTGAGGGTATTCTGTGGGCAAGGGGGCCCAGAAGCTGCCAATTTAGCACAGCAGCCCCAAATGAGAAGCTAGTTGGGTTTTCATCTGACTGCCCTCTCCCTTATCTGGCCCAGAGGTTGTAGGAGTTCTTACACTGTCCTCTCCTGATAGCTTAATGGGATGGTGGCTGCCTTCAGGCCTTTCGCTGGGCTGGCTCCTTCCTTGCTGCTCAGAGTGTCCTCCCTTGGAGACGGCGGTACAATGGAGATCCTCTTCTCCAGCACCTGTTTGTAGGTAGGCCCCTTCCCTGGGCTCCTTCCCAGGCAACCACTGCACAGAGCAGGTAGATTTAACGTGTTTTTTTTTCTATATTTTAAATCTCTGGGTCCCATGCCAAGCGGCTTCCCTTCTGCATAGTGAACACATGGGTTGCTTGTTCGGCACAACTGCCATTCACACAACGCCTTGTATTTTTTTAGTTAGTGAATACAAGGCTTTCTCTAACTGGATTAGGTGGAGAGGCGGGAAGGTGATGTCACGATCTCCACCTCGTCCAATCAGAAAACAATAAATATATGGCGTTTTGTGAATGGTGGCAGTTTGAACAACACCCCGTTTACTTTGCAGAAGGATAGCCATTTGATACAGGACCTGGAAGACCACAGTGGTCACTTTACTAGTGATGACTACTACAGTGACTCTTCACTCCCACAGTGGTCCCTGTTATGCCTCCAGCAGGGGAATATACTGTATTATGCCTGTCCTGCCTGCAATATCAAATTTGGGTGGCAGTGGACGTGGTATACTTGGACAGAGGGGTGGCGGTGGACGTGGTATACGTGGACAGAGGGGTGACGGTGGACGTGATATACGTGGACAGAGGGGTTGCGGTGGACGTGATATACTTGGACAGAAGGGTGGCGGTGGACGTGGTATACTTGGACAGAGGGGTGGCGGTGGACGTGGTATACTTGGACAGAGGGGTGGCGGTGGTGACGTGGTATGCTTGGATCTTGCAAAAGCATTTGACACAGTTCCTCACACACACGGCTAATGTGTAAGGTAAAGTCTACAGGCTTGGAAAAATCTGTATGTAAATGGATAGAAAACTGGCTAAAAGATCATATTCAGAGAGTAGTGGTTGATGATTCATACTCTGAATGGTCTAGGGTGTCAGTGGTGTACCCCAAGGTTCAGTGTTGGGACCCTTACTTTTTATAATATATTTATAAACAATATAGGGTCTGGGATTACAAATCCCATTTCAGTCTTTGCAGATGACACCAAGCTGTGCCGTGGAATAACGTCCTTACAGGATGTCTCCAACTTACAAGCCGACCTCAATGCTCTGTGTAATTGGGCAACTATGTGGCAAATGAGTTTAATGTTGATAAATGTAAGGTTATGCACTTGGGGGCTAAGAATATGCAGCATCATACATACTAGGGGGGGTACAACTGGGGGGGGGGGGGTCAATGGTGGAGAAGGATCTGGGAGTTCTGGTAGATCACAAGCTTAATAATGGCATGCAATGCCAAGCTGCGGTTTCTAAAGCGAGCAAAATCCTCTCTTGTATTAAAAAAAATAGACTCCAGAGAGATATCATATTACCCCGGTACAAATCATTAGTAAGACCTCATCTGGAATATGCAGTTCAGTTTTGGGCACCAATTCACAAAAAGAACATTGGGGAACGGGAGAAAGTACAGCGAAGGGCAACTAAACTGATAAGAGGCATGGAGGAGATCAGCTATGAGGAAAGAACTGAATTTATTCTCTCTTGAGAAGAGGAGATTAAGGGGGGATATGATCTCCATGTATAATACATAAGGGGGATATGATCTCCATGTATAATACATAAGGGGGGGATATGATCTCCATGTATAATACATAAGGGGGGATATGATCTCCATGTATAATACATGAGGGGGATATGATCTCCATGTATAATACATAAGGGGGGATATGATCTCCATGTATAATATATAAGGGGGATATGATCTCCATGTACAATACATAAGGGGGGATATGATCACCATGTATAATACATAAGGGGGGATATGATCTCCATGTATAATACATAAGGGGGATATGATCTCCATGTATAATACATAAGGGGGGGTATGTATAATCTCCATTAGAGATGAGCGAATCGATCATGACGAAGTGGAATTCGTTCCGAAGATTTGTAAAAAATTCGATTTGCGACGAATCCGAAGATTAGCAAACTTCGGATGCACGAATCGAATTTTCCCAAAAATGGCAGCGACATGTGTGGCGACAGGAGAAAATGGACAGAGAAGATGGGGCGGGGATCTCTGGGAAGACGCGCAGACAAGGCGCGCTGACCCCATAATGCATTCATGAGTCATGAATCATGACATGTGATCGCATTAGCCAATCAGCAGCCAGCCAGCCAGCACTGTGTAATGGTGGAGCTATAAATCGCGGCCATCTTAGAATTCTCCATTAGCCTCCGGTCATTCAAGAGAGACAGACCTGTCTGTATTAAGGACAGAGTTAGGGCCACAGAGACTTTAGGGCCACAGAATCGTTACTCAGGGACACAGAATCGTTACTCAGGGACACAGAATCGTTACTCTGGGACACAGAATCGTTACTCAGGGACACAGAATTGTTACTCAGGGACACAGAATCGTTACTCAGGGACACAGAATTGTTACTCAGGGACACAGAATCGTTACTCAGGGACACAGAATCGTTACTCAGGGACACAGAATCGTTATTCAGGGACACAGAATCGTTACTCAGGGACACAGAATCGTTACTCAGGGACACAGAATCGTTACTCAGGGCCACAGCTATCAAAGAATTGAAAATTTAAAGTGACATACACCCTTTTTTTTTTGGTGGCTGTCGTGCACAGTTGGTGCTGCAGTTTGCCGATTGTGCAAAAAAAAATCTGACTTTCTGCTTCACAACCACTATTGTACGTTCAAAGAGTTAAAATCCATTTTACACGCCGGCTGGCGTTAATATTCTTTGGTGATTAGTGCGACAACGTACAGTTTCCACAACGGCAACTGCAGCTATTGTGAACATTAAACTGTACTTTCTGCGTTCAAACACATTAGTGTACGTTAAAAAGTTTGATCCATTTACACCCGGGTGGCGGTATTTTTTTTTGGGTGATTAGTGCATTCCAGTGACACACAAACGTACAGTTTCCAGCCAACGGCAAGCTGCAATTGGACCGATTGTGTACAATAAACTGACTTTCTGCTTCACAACCACTATTGTACGTTCAAAGAGTTAAATCCATTTACACGCCGGCTGGCGGGTAATATTTTTTGGGTGATTAGTGCATTCCAGTGACATAAACGTACAGTTTCCAGCCAACGGCAAGCTGGCAATTGACGATTGTGCTACAATAAACTGACTTTCTGCTTCACAACCACTATTGTACGTTCAAAGAGTTTAGATCCATTTACACGCCGGGTGGCGGTAATTTTTTTTGGGTGATTAGTGCATTCCAGTGACATAAACGTACAGTTTCCAGCCAACGGCAAGCTGCAATTGATACCGGATATGTGCTAATTATAAACTGACTTTCTGCTTCACAACCACTATTGTACGTTCAAAGAGTTAAATCCATTTACACGCCGGGTGGCTGGTAATATTTTTTTGAGGTGATTAGTGCATTCCAGTGACATAAACGTACAGTTTCCAGCCAACGGCAAGCTGCAATTGACCGATTGTGTAAATAAACTGACTTTCTGCTTCACAACCACTATTGTACGTTCAAAGAGTTAGATCCATTTACACGCCGGGTGGAGCGGTCCGGTAATATTTTTTGGGTGATTAGTGCATTCCAGTGACATAAACGTACAGTTTCCAGCCAACGGCAAGCTGCAAATTGACCGCTTTGTGCTAAATAAACTGACTTTCTGCTTCACAACCCCACTATTGTACGTTCAAAGAGTTAAATCCGCTTTTATGTTTTGGGGTGGCTTAATTGAAATTAAAGAGTATGTCAGGACAACACGCAAGGAGGGAGTGGCAAGAGGAGGCAATGTTTTCAGTATGCGAGCAGAACGTGGCAGCAGAGGAAGGGGTCGAGAGCAGCAGCACTAGTCCGCCTAGCCAGATGCCAGTGCTTCCCAGGTGTCATCCAAGCGGTTTCGTCGTCTCCTCCGGACAACCCTTCCCGTCATACGATTGGTCTGACTCGGTCGTCTTCCTCTTCCCAGTCACCACCATCAGACACATACAGGCCAACTGGTCCCCCGGTTGGTACGTCAGTACACAACCATGATGTTTGGTCATGGCTGGGAGCAAGCCCACACTAGCAATCACGTTGTCCTCGACCTGCCCCCTGTCTCTTTGGTGTTCCCTCACCAATCAGAAGTATCGCATGCATGTGGGCTCAGGCCACACTGTACAGTGAGGAAGGGAAGAGCTTAACAGAGGGCGGTCAGGAACGGGGGGAGACATCCGCCTTCTCTTCAGCAGCACATGCGAAGAGAAGTACTGGCGAGGAGAGTGGCTCGGTAGCGGGATCTAAGGAGACAGGTCTGTCTCCTGACCCACACGCAGCCGAGGGGGCTAGTAGTGACGCGGAGACCCTAATTTGAATGAATGATGAGGCTGATCACACTTGGCCAGCCTCGTCGTCATCAGGGCTATTGGCTTCCCGCCGAAATCATCAGGAGAAGAGGGTGCCAGCTTAGCCAGCGAGGCAAAACAGTCGGTGGGTTGCCCATGGACGCATCAGCGGTCGCCAGCAAGTGTCAGTTGGAGCCAAATGGCCACGCGGAGTAGAGCAACAGCATCCACTGCAGTTCCTACCCAACCACGGGCCAAGGAGTGGTGGCCTGGTGTGCAACGGAATAGGAAAGTTAGGCAGTCAGCTAGTGTGGAGTAGCGGGGGCAAAAGTTTTCCTACTCGCGCACGGTGTGGCAATTTTTCGTCACGGCCGCCCGACGGAAGTTAATGATTAGCCCGTATGTTCGGACTATTGGGCCAGAGAAAGTCACAGCGTGGCCAGTGGGCCAATGTTTGGGGACTGACTAAGCGTTGCGTCTGCATATGCATGCGGTCCGCCATTTTTCGTCTAGCCAGGGAATAAATCCGTCGATAAAAGGATACGGCTGGAGTTCAGGTTCTGCCTGCACCACAGCCTCCCGCGTGTCATCACCCGAGCTCCGTTTACGTGCTCCGTCATCCCGACGTCAATCGGCCCTCTAATCAGCCAGTCACTGCTCCCAACAACCCTGCTTGCTGAGGGGAGTGGGATCGCATCGTTGGCATCTTCCGCTCGTATTCAGATGCTCCTTCTCCTGCTACTCTCCCTTTCACACGTATTCCGTCAGCAGTCTTTATTGTAATCCCGTTTCCAAGAGGACACAGTTTGCGAGCACGCACCCGGACCGTGCAGAAGCTGTAACGTCCTCCTGTCCAAGTTTGCTGGGTGGCTGCAGTCCCTCCCTTATTTTCCAAGTGGTGGACTCTGCACCTTTCCAGAGAAATGATAGGCTTGTGCCGAAGCCGCGGTGGAGAGTGCCAAAGCCGGCATTCCATTCGCTAAAAGGGCTAGTGCCCAGCCCTGCCATTTCACATGTAGAAGAGTATGGTAGGGCCCTGTCTTTGAGCATGTCGGTCTCTGCCAAAGTGCACGGTACAGCCACGATCGTACCACGTGGAGTCGTGTACAAGCTAAACGGTCACCCCAACCACGCCTGGCACTGCCGACGTGTGGAAGCTGTAACTACGGTCAGTGACAATACATGTAATTTTACGGGCCACGGGGGTGATCGTGGTAGCGTGCGGCATCAGCCGCACCAGGCAACTTGGACAAGGTCACGCCCGCTTTTGCCTCCACGTTTGGTTTGGCACGTCCGTGTCCATGCAAAAGAAATGTCCGCCTCTTACCACCTCTCTTCTCCGCTGTGGTTCCTCAGCCGCCATCCCCCCCGTGTCCAAGTCCCATTACCCCGAGCCGGCATATCACAGTGTGCAATGGGCGCAACTGTGTCACGCTGTGCTCTGCACCTGGTATGCCTATCTGGCGAACGTGAGTCACACAGGGGAGGAAAAATACTTCTGAGTGTCAATGAACAAGAGAAATCGACAGATGGGCTGG